AGAGAGAGAGAGAGAGAGAGGGAGAGAGAGACTCCGCAACGGTCGGGGGCGCACTAGCGTGCGGGTAAGGGGAGCAATCCTCTTGCCCCTAGCCCTGGCGAAAGAAAGAGAGAGGGAGTGGAAGTGTGTAGCCAACAGAGCCACCGTAGGCGTAGACTCCTTAGCGCACTCGCTGACGACTGAGGCAGAGGGGTACCCACTAGTCTGAATACTCCACGGTTGCCTTGTAAGGACATGTTTCAGCTACCCTGCCACAGCCTACCAGCTACGTAAAGCGCGGAGCACACAGCTAGTGAAGAAAGTTTGACGAGGTACACACTGCTGCTTTCTGCAGTGGAGCCTCCAGAGGCGGTACCCTAACAACGCCCTGAGGGAACGGCAAGGTGTGTTTCCGAACACTTAGTTTCGGCCCGGGCCTCAGTTTTTCGTTCAGGTTGCAGTTCCTGGGGCACCCGCCCAACAGGGGCACACAGTTCTTTGCACAGCCGAGCCCATCCATTGAAAATGATGGATGGGGCAGCGCGGGAGGGCTGCTCCCGCCCCAAGCCCTAAGCAAAGCAAAGCAAAGGGAGTGGAAGAAGAAGAGAGAGAGAGAGAGAGAGAGAGAGAGAGAAAGGGTAGCGGGCGTAGCGCTTGCGCGCAGGGGTTCAGGGGGTACCCCCTGTATCCCCCTGTCCCCAAACGCCACGCAAGCAAGCAAGCAAGAGATGGTAGCAAGTTTATCCCTCCCCATCGCCCCCGCCACCAACACCAAACACAAACCCTGACGAGGGGGACAGTTCGGCCATGGTTCATACTATCCATCCTTACTTGCGGCCCCGACCAGACCCGCCAGCCGAAGCCCCACATGTTACAAGGGGCCACAGCCACAGTGCGGACTTGAGCATGGCCGCAACATACGGCCCGCAACACACAGCCATCGCAGCCACTGCCGCCACAGTGCCACCACAGCTCCTCGACACCCACTACCATCCCAGCAACCAACACGACCACACTCCCTCTGCAAGGACAAGCAGGGGAAGCCGGCGGGGGACCACACACCGGGGGAGGCGCCTCACAAACCCCGGGAGACCCCCCAATGGAACCGAGAGCTTTGTGGCAGAGGCTAGAATGCCATCTGCTAGCCATCCGGAGGCTCGCAGAACATCTGCCTGAAGGCCGAGCCATCGTTCACATAACAGATAATGCGCTTGTGGATGTACTTATGGACAGCGAAGCTGAGAGACATCTAGACATGTGCATCGGGGAACTCCTCGGACCAAGCAATGATGCGGGGGAAGCCGCTACCCGCGGAAGGGCTCTCAGTGCGAGAGAGGCCATCCTGCGCCTCTCCGATGTGGCCCGTACTCAGCTGACGACGAGAGGGGGAACCGCACGTGTACGCAACCTCGTTCCCTGTGTGGACGCCATCGTCAAATGGCTTCAGCGCATCACGGGGGAGACGCTGACTGAGAACAGCATGCCCGAGATCATGGCGATCCGCTATAGGTGCGGGAACAGCCACCATGGACCACTGGCGAGGGTTGCTCAATGCGGGGGACAGCCTGCGCTCGCTCTTCGAACTCGCGGAAGGACCGACAGGCTCACACCCTCCTGGAAAACAGGACTTGCAACCGGGGGACTATGCCACGGCCCTGGAGCACATAGCTGCCTCCTTCACGCACTGGGGGGATGACGACCAGCTGACCATGCAGGCGAACCTCCTCAACTTGCTCCACACCACCTCCGCAGTACTGGCCCAAAGACAGCGACAAGGAGAGCTTGCTGAGCCGGAGCCGGGGAATATTCCGATAGCTGGTGACTCTGCTTCCTCCAGTGCAGGGGGACACTGGTGGGTGCAGGACAGGCACCACGGCATGGGGGATGCAGCGCGCGCTTTGCCTTCCTCGCCACGTGCACCTGAAGCGGGGGAGGATGATGCCATGCACACAGACGGCGAGGACAGGTTCGACGACTCGCGCCGCCGCCGCCGAGTGCTCGCCGAACACATCCACGAGTACTTCTGAGTGTGAACCGGGGGATAGCTGAAATGTGTAGCCGATGCTCTTCCGTAAACCTCCAGTCTGCAAAGGGGGATGAGACGCTTCCGCTTTTCTGCTTGAGTTACCTGCTCTTAATTTCCAGGGGGATGCGCACTCTTGTACCCTTTGCACCACTGGTAGTGAGAGACCATGTCAGGGGTACGCCCCCATTCCTTTCCGTTCAGGTTGTTTCAGCTGGTTTGCTTGATTGCTTTGGGGGATCGGGGGAAACCCTGTACAGGTCACAGATACTTGACACTCTAAACAAAAAGGGGGATGCCCTCTCTCCACTTTCATGTTTCAGGCTTTCACCGTGTCCTCGATTTTCGTGTTTCAGGCTGTTACGGTGTCCTCGATCATGGGCATCCCCCTCCCGCGAACTCACCCGTAGGGGAAACATGCCCCTCGGCCTTTTTCAAGAAGGCGATGGAAACTCAGGGGAAGACCCCTTCTACTCGGCCTTGCTTACCTAGGTCCCCATAGTTTCGCTTGCTCTTTGATTTAACAAACACTCATCCCGTGAGAAAGTCACAGCCTTGTACCATGAGACCCGGAGAGATGGCAAGGAGACTGAGGTTGTTCCTTATTTTCCTGTGGTGGGGTTTTGTAGGTTGCATGCTGCTTCCGTTTTCGATCCTCAGCCATCTCCCGTCACCGGGGAAATGACATAATCAGGGGACAGCACTTTCTACAGATCGTGCTTCTCCAACGTCGTCACAGGGGGATGCTCCCCCGTGACCCCTTTCTGCTTTCATTAGGTCGTGGAGGCTCGGGGGAAGTGGGCTGTTGTGATATATGGTTATTTTTTTCTCCTTTGACCTTGCATCCGTATCTTTTTACCGGAAACCGAGCATCCATATCTTCTTGAAGGCCCCCACAAGGCCTCTAATACAGGGGTGCGCCATCCGGCGCGGGGTGCTTGACACGCACCTCAGGCCCCGGAGAACAGAACAGAACAGAACAGAACAGAACAGAACAGATGGTAGTACGAGAGAGATCCAACAAGTGTGCACGTGTGTGTGTGTGTGTGCGTACAGTTCTTTACACACACAAACATCTCTGTTCCTATATTTTCTTATGTGTGTATGCTCTCCCCACCCACCGCCCATGATCCACTTGAACCAGCTTCTTGTAAACAGTGGATCATGGGAGCTGAGCAGCCTCATATGACACATCGGCAGAGATTAGTTTTTTCCAAAATTCCAAACAACTGGGCAACTATGGCCCTGCACTATAGATAGATTTCAGAAGTTTGGGAATTTTGGTGCAATTTGATCCCTGCCAATGTTTTCGCCCTTCAGGCTTGAGAAATTTTACGGAAATTTGAGCCTGGCAGCATTTTAGCAAGCTGGAACAAGATGAACAAACAGTAGCAGTAATAACAGCAATAGTTGTTGAGGCGCGGCAAGGCCAGGGGCGGTATTATTGCGTGTAGCTGCTGTTGTTTGTTTTTTCTTTGTTTTTTTTGTTTTTCTTTGGTGTTGTCGTTGGTGTAGCTGTAGCTGTAGCTGTAGCTGCAGCTGCAGCTGCAGCTGCAGCTGTTGTTGTTGTTGTTGTTGTAAGATGATGGCGTCAGGCGACTTCATGCTACTTTGGCACGTATCGCCGTTGTTGTTGTTGTTGTTGTTGCAGAGTATTGACGGGTTGAATTTTCGAGCTTGTCGTGGCCTCATATCTCCGTACTAGACTAGACAGTTCTTGTTATAGCTAAAGTACCTCGTTCATTGCCTAAGAGAGACAAACGAGCTCTCACATTTTCTAATCACCAAAGGACGCTATTGTTTTTTGAATATCAGCTGAAGGAGCTTTCTTATTGCTGCTCATGGTTGGAAAAGGCTTGGCTACTTTCTGTCTTCTGAATGCTCAGAGACAGAAAAGCTTCTTTTTACTATATAAGGATGGGAAGGCTCTCGTATTGTTTATCAACTGATACAATGCGCTCGGCTAATACATGAAGACTGAAATGCTTCAGATACTAAAGTGGATTGGTCGGTTTCGATGCGTAGCTCAGGCGTGGGTTTTGCGGTGTGCAGATATGGATGTAGATATATTTGCAGACATAGACACAGACGCAGACCTAGATACAAGCTGCTGGGGTCATCTTCGTCTTTGGTGCAGGTATTGCGGCTAGAGAAAGATGAGTTGTCACGGCGCCTGGGAAGCACCGTGCTGGAGCCACCTCGCTTCGTGCTGATGGCCCAGGGCCCCCAACTGGGCAAGGCTGCTCCCTTTCATTCTGCAACGCTGAGTGCGAGAGTTGTTGTCCTAGCCAACGAGACTTGGAAGGAGAAGTCGTTGAGCAATGAGACACCACGCTCCTCGGGTGTCGATGTCGTGGACGTTACGATCCCAGACGGCATCCATGCCGGCGATGTTTTCTATGCCGAGGTGCCAGATGACCTGTTGTTTGCTGCCGAACTGAGCCTCAGCTCTCTCCAGGTGAACGGTGTGGAGTTCAAGGTTGTCGTGCCCGAGAACTGCGGGCCTGGTAAGATCATCGAGATGGAGGTTCCATCATCACTCACGCAGGAAGGCCAGCGGCTAGCGACTGGTTCGAAGGAGGTCCAACGAGTGTCCGGATTCATCGGGTTCACACATTTGCAGGCCTCGGGCCAGTGACCAGCCGTTCCAGCTCCTACGAGGCATTTTGTGCATGTTTGTGCTTTGCGCCTGTTGCCCTTCCCCTGCGTACGACTCCGAGCATGACAGGCGCAGGAGCCACTTTCAGAGATTGTTGAAGTGGTCATTCCTCCTGGTGCATGTGCCGCGGGCGGGCTCTGTGCTCAGTGACACTCTCACCTTCCAGTCATCCTGAGTTCGCACTGCCCTGTGCCACCGCTCTTCGAGACCTTGCACACGTGTACTGGGCAGCAGGTTCATCGCGACGCTTCACGGGAAGGCATCCCTGGCTTTTTGGGACATGTTTTTGGGGAAGGTTCCTGAGAGCTTGCACCGAAGGACTATGAAATCTCTGTTCCAGAGGGTGGGCAAGAAGGGGATACTATCGAGATTGACCTGGCAGGAGAGCTCCGCGGCTCTTGGGATTTGTCACGTCATTGTGTTGCCCAGCCAATTGAGGACTGTCTCAGCCATCCTCGCGGAGCTCGCAGGCTTTGCGCAAAATGCAGCCAGTCATAGCGACAGCCCAGCATGTGGCAATGTTCCGTGCTGCAAATGCAGGCATCCAAGATCTATGAAGTTGTGGTGCCAGATGAACTGAAAGCTGGAGATTTGCGCCTTAGCTGCAGCCTTGCTGCGCAGCTGCTTGAAATTTCATGCTGAGTTTGCTTTGGCATGTTCGCATAGTGATGGCTACAAGGTTCATCGCGCAGCTGGAGGGCAAGGATGCGACCGGCGGCGATGTGGCTACACGTGATTACAGATGCATGTCTGGCATGCGCAGGAGTATGAGATCCCGGTGCCCTACAGTTGTCGGGGTGGTGACATTATAGAGGTCGATGTGTCAGGCGAGGTACTTCAGTTACTGGATCCTGCGATGAACGCTGCCACAGAGGCTTGTCAGAGCCGCCCTCCAGCGCTTCGCAGGTCCCAGAGAGTCCCTGTGTTGGCTGTGTGGCATGGTCAAGTGTCAAGACCGTGTAGTCTGCAAAGAGGAGCGACCAGACCATACCTTTGGAGTCGTCATACCCGCGACGCTGTGCGCTCATGACTCGCTGCTTGGCACAGTGGGAGTGTTTGTGGGTGAGTGTATGTAGCTCGAACGATGCACATTCGGGCTTCAGTGGTAGATCGGAGTTCACGCAGACGTCACAACAAGCAACGGCCGGATCCGGCGAAGGTTGTTTATGAGTTTGGCAACCCCTTGTAAGTTGGAGAGATCCACAAGCACAGTTTCCGTTTTCGCCTACATACACCAGACTTTCATGTGCTGCTCAAATGGCTGGAGAGGTGTGCAGACAAGCAGACAAAGCGGTGTGGTTTGCAGGGCATCTGAGGGCAAGAGAGCGGCGAGAAGTGGTGCTGCTATCTGAGGTTTACCATTATGGTGCACGGCAAGGTTGCACATCATGCATGCAATCAAGCATTGAACATTTCGTCGTCGGGAGGAGTTCGAAATCAGTGTTCCGGAGGGCAAGCAAGGTGGAGATGAAATTGTGGTTGAATTTGCAGGCAGTGGCAGTGCAAGCATGTGCAGACATCCTCATGCGTTTGTATCTTCAAAAGAACAGAGCCGCTGCAGGTTTGACTCCCCTGGCCGGTAGCGACTGCCTGAGACAGTGTTTCAAGATACATTGTGGACGTTTGGATGTTCTTATCTCCTGATGAAAGTTGCGTTTATCAGTTTGGTGGCGCTGTGCAAAGGCAAACTGATCCCGGCCGCGGACGAGGATGCAGATGGGGGCAGTATTCATTAAGCATCACAACAACTACCCCAAAATCCCCTTCAGCACAGTCTTCCAACCGTGCTGTGCTTGTTCGTGGCCTGCCTCGTGTCTTGCACGTGGGTTGCGCTTCTGCAGCACTGCTCCGCAGGAGGATATCAGCGCCACACCCACGGAAGGCTCCATTGCCCCTGGGTCGGAGGCAGCAGAGGCCTGAAGACCGTGTGAAACCCCATACATCCCCATACTTCTGTGCAGCACTGCTCAGCCTTCAGCCACTCGCTGGATGCAGGGCCAAATTGCTAGCGAGGCTGCTCCTTTTGATTCAGGCCGATGCAACGAGGACCACATCCTCAGTGCCCGGGTCATGGCGGCTAGACGCTAGACATGTCCGCGAGAGGAGCCAGCATCAAAGCCAAGTGCTGGAATTCAGCCGAGTGCTTTGCAAGAAGCTTTGAGAGAAGAACATCCCGACGTCGAACATGCCTCTGTGTCTTGGCCGCAGGGTCTTCAGGCGTGAAACATGTCTCTCCTAACCGTCCTACTCGTAACCATTCCTAACCCATACGGACTGAGGCACCGCAGGTAGGCGGAAAGGAGATCCTGGAGCGCATCCAGCCGGAGCCAAAACCAGAGGTGCGGCTGTCGTGCCACACTGTGTCTCCTCAAAGCGTTCCTTGGGAGTTTCTTGTTTTCGGTTCAGACCACAGCACCGCACGATAGAGCCCGAGGGAGGGCGCTCGCACAAATGAAACTGCCGCAGGCGTGCAAAGCAGTCTGACACACGAGGTAGATGAAAAGACTGACAGTGCAACGAACCGAGTTCAGCCTTTTCAGAGTTGATTCCACTGAATTCCAGTCTTTTACGAATTAGGCATGTCTTTGCTGCACGGAATGTCATGCCGTTTCGTATCTTGGGACTGGTCATGCCAAGAGGTGCGCGAAGAAGATTGCGGCAAAGTGCGCGATGCCGCAGTCGAAAACGCCTGCATGCAGGCAGAGGAGGAGGTCGGCATGCCGAGGTGGAACTTGCGATTGGCAAAGCACAGCTTGGTAGGCAGAGCGGCATCGCCTTGAGTACCTGGAGCGCCAATCGATAGATGAGGCTGTCCCTTCGCTATTCCGGCATCTCGCTTCTGTCATTCTTTCCACCAGGCTGAAAGACTCCGTCGCGAAGAGGAGCTTCTGGGCGACGGTGACATAAGACTCCTCCTTTGCACACTTGCACACTTGCACTCACAAGGAGGAACGTGAAGCTGCGAGAATAGCTGCAGAGAAGGCGGCTGAGGAGGCTGTTTCAGTTGAGAAGACTCACTGCGTGCCTGCATGGGGTCCTTCATGCGCACAGGCAGAGCGGCAACGCATCGAAGATCTCAAGCGCCAGGCACTAGAAGAGGCTTGCCGTTTGCATTTGTGCTTGCAGCAGTGCTCGGCAGTCGCACTGTGTCACGCTCTGTCACAAGGCTGAAAGGGCCGCCCGAGAGGAGGACGGGAGCACGACAAATGCACTGCAGTTTCTTGACTACGACGAGACCTTTGCTGCAACACCTCCAGGCAGCTCGTGAAAACGCGTGCATGCAGGCAGAGGAGGAGGCTGGAGGAGGTCGTAGTTGTGCCTGGCATTTGCAGCACGCAGTGGTAGGCCGAGCGGCAGCGCCTGGAGTACCTGAAGCGCCTAGCAATAGAGGAGGCCCGTTGCAGTGTTCCGCCATCGCGATTTATGTGGCAGCCTCTTCAACAAGGGCCCCACCAAGCATGCAGAGACACACTCTTTATTGTGCACTCTGGCGGGTCCCTTCTCGACTGTTGGGGGTGGGGCGGGGGTCGCCTGGTTTGTACTTTTCAGTAGTAGCTTAGTACAGTATTGATATTAGTGGTATTTAGTATGTACTAGCACTAGTGCTTCGGCATACTACTTACTAGTAGTAGCTCGTAGCATTAGTTCGAGTTCTTCCAGCCTGTTCAGTGCGAAGCAGCATCTAAAGGCCGTGGAAGGCTAGCCGCCTAGTGGCTCTGAGAGTCACTCGGCTCCATCCCTGAGCTAAAGGCTAAAGCATCCTCTCCCATTTGACCATTCACGCAAAGGAGAACCCAACAAGCAAACATCAGCATTGAGCAGTTCACATTTTTTAGGCCTGAATTAGCACCAGGACTTTCGTGTTAAACAGGGCTTAAATCCAAAAAGGGTGCCACATCATGTCATTCCACCAGGCTGAAAGACTCCGTCGCGAAGAGGAGCTTCTGGGCGACGGTGACATAAGACTCCTCCTTTGCACACTTGCACACTTGCACAAGGAGGAACGTGAAGCTGCGAGAATAGCTGCAGAGAAGGCGGCTGAGGAGGCTGTTTCAGTTGAGAAGACTCACTGCGTGCCTGCATGGGGTCCTCCATGCGCACAGGCAGAGCGGCAACGCATCGAAGATCTCAAGCGCCAGGCACTAGAAGAGGCTTGCCGTTTGCATTTGTGCTTGCAGCAGTGCTCGGCAGTCGCACTGTGTCACGCTCTGTCACAAGGCTGAAAGGGCCGCCCGAGAGGAGGAGCGCAACAAATCGATTTGGCCAGCTGCGAGTGCAAGCAAGAAGTCACAGATGCCAGGAAGCGCGCATCAAGCGGGAGGAGGCAGAAATCAAGGGCAAAGTTGTGGTCTCTGTGTCTGGCTCTCACCGAACCTTCCTACAGCTCCGTCGGACAGCGGTCTCGCTTGAGGACTGTGGTAAACGACGAGACAGAAGAGCTGATGGCCAAGGCCGCGGGCGCAGCGGTAAAACATGCAGTCAAGCAGTGCTTGTGCTTTCTCGTCTTGCTTGAAGCTGCCAGGCCTCGTTAAGGCTTGGTTGCAAAGTTCTCGAACTTGCACAGGCCTTTTCTCACTCAGTTAATGTGCATCCACGTCTTCTAGTACAGGTTTGCATCCGGGAAGCACGGCTGTCGGTGACTCCCGCCATCTTCACCGAGCCCAAGCCGGAGCCCAGAATGGTCCGCGGAAAGATGGCCCCTCTGCTTCAAAATCTAAGTGTGGCATATAGGGAGAACTTGCACTTGCATGGTGCTTTCAGGATTGCAGGAATTCGTACCCCTGACCATAAAGGAATGTCGTTGCCCGTGCATGTCCGGACCAGATGCTGGAGCAGGGCACAGTGGGATCCAGAGTGCTTCAAGGCTCGGAGGACCAAATCTGAGTTTTGCAACAATCGCAGCAGCAGCCGCAGCTACGACGGTAGCCACCACTGTCGCAAGCGCACAGAAGCAACAAGTTGCTCGAGTGAGACCCTTATGCCAGTGCCGTTAAAGCCAGCACGCACAGTACTTGCATCAAGAAATACAGCATCTGTCGCAAACTGGCAAGCGCGAGGTGATTACTGGTGACTGTCGACTCTGGTAGCCTGGAGTGTGGTCGCAGAATAAGGCAGAATACCAACACATCCACTTTGGGCAACAGTGTTTACCCACCCGCCTGCCCCCACCGCCCCTTGCCTTCTCACCCGGGCATCTGGACACACAAACTTAGAAAGACCTGCCAATGGTATACTTCAAATTGGTGAACAGCTTTCTAACTGTACCCTCAAGCTGCCTCCACAGGTCCTTGAGCACCGCCAGTTTTGCAGGTACAGTACGTTCGCCCACTGACGTCTGTCAGCTTCATTGGCATGGCCTGCCTTAGCGGAGTCCAAAGTGCTTCTGAAAGTACGCCGCCATCTTCCACCTCTTCAACAAGGGGTCTTCAAAGCAAATAGCTGCAAAGGCTGTTGGTGAGTACTTGCTCCAAGCCTTCCCGAACATTGTATTCGAAATTCTCAGACGGGAGCACGCAAGTAGATCAGAATGCGAAGTAACACACGCGAGAAACCCAGTGATGAATGCCGATCCGGGCTTTGTGTAGGGGATTTGGCTCGCTGTCAAATCGTGAGTATGTCGTAATTGGGAGCTGAACAGCGAGAAGGTGTGTTCTGAAAAAAGGCGTCGCCACGGTTGCGTCTTGTCAAGATTTCCAAGGAAGTGCGCGAGCGCTTCGTGCGTGGGACTCAGATCAGCTTGGAATCCATCATTCAGAACCTCCCGTGCACGGATGCGCAAGCCGCTGAAGATACCAGGAAGGTGGCGCCGCAACAGACGCGTCATAATGTGGCTCGCAGGCTGAACAGCGAAGACACGCTGTTGGAAGCTGGTGTGGAGGCGAATCAGTCTTGTCCAGTCAGCCTCAGTTCATATTTCGACTCTTTCAGAACAATGCCGTCCTCAGAGCCAAGATCAGTCCCGCAGTCATCACCGCGTCAAAGGACCCGTCAGAGACCACTTTTCAGATGCACCATGATGCACATTGGAGCCTGTTGGAGGACCGCACAGCTCGCATTTGGAATGCAGAGCCGGTGGCCGAGCGGCCTAAGCGGCCTAAGCGGCCTTAGCCAGCAAGACTGCATTGACATGCTTCTGGCCGCCGAGGACCGGGAAATGTGAGCTCATTCTGGAGGGCCACACCGAAGCAGTCTGTCAAAACCCTATATCATCATGTCAGCAAGCAAGGAGTGCAGTGCAAGTTTATGAGGCTCGGCTTGTATTTCGCCAGATTGCCGCTATGCCGGGGCCGTGACTGAGCGAGGTTAATCAAGTTTCGAGATTTTCTGTCCGGACGAGGTGGCGACCTCTTCGGAAGATGGCTCCTCCAGGATGAGTCCTCTTGATTGCCAGTCCGCAGTCGATACCGGGGTCTCTTTGGCAGGCTCTGGTATGTCGACAGCGGCCGCTGCGCTCGAGTCCTGCCGTCCTCCAAGTGCGAGCTGCGCGAAGTGCGGCCCGCACGCGCGAGCGCTTGTGCGAAGTGCCTTTCGTCCCTTCCCGCTGCCACCGAGGCTGGACCACAAAGAGGCTGTTTACTTTGCCACTTTTTCGCCCGACAGCAAGCAGGCCAGAGTTTCTTGTCATTTCTCCCGGATTCATATAGTTTTGGTCCTGGAGGTCGTGACTGCATCAGAGGACGCCACTGCCAAAATCTGGGTGGTCAAGTTCATTGCTCAGGGCTTCCTGTATTCTCTATCATACTCTTTGTATGCCTGCTGCCAGCAGCAACGTTCATGTGATGTCTCAGAACCGGCATCTGCAAGCTGACTTTGAAAGGGCCGGGTCCCGAATGTCTTTTCTCGTGTCAGTTTGTACTGGCACGGCAGTGGCAGGCACCACTTCGCCGTCCTCTGGGCCACATTTTCCCCTGATGGTGGCTTGGCTGCAGCATGCTCTATGTCATCCCCAGACCATTGAGCAAACTGTGAGGCAGAAGCGTAACAACCACAAGCAGCGACGGAACTCTCAAAATTTGGAATGCCTTCCACTTACAAATCTTCTGCAGCTTCTTGGTCAAGGCCCAACAGGTGTCGTAGCAGGCTTCACAGGTCAAAAGATTCCTTTCTGGTCTGCCAAGGCCAAAACCGGAGTTTGTGCCTTGCGCCCAGAAACGGGGCAACTGTGGCTGGAGATCGGTCTTATGTCGCAGTTCATCACGCTCGGCAAGGATCGGACCCTCCTTGGGCAGAAGCCCGTGTACCTGGCCTCCTTTGCAAGTGATGGCACGACTTTCGTCACGACTAGTGTTTGCCTTGGAAGCGTTACTGCACAGAAAGTTCACGGTGTTTGAAGTGATCGCAGCTGCTATCGTTCGCAAGGTGGTGATTCGACTGCCAAGATTTGCGACCTGGTGTGTGTGCCCGAGTTTTTGGGACCGCGATGCGATGTCTGCAGGGGTAGCCTTGCAAGGACTGGAGAGGCCAAAATAGTTCTTACAGGCCACGACTCGCTTGTACGACACCCAGCCTTGGCAGAGTTGCTTTGTTTCGACAGAGTTCCGATTGGGTGTCAAGAGAGGCTTCGTTGAAAAGGCTAGTGCATAGTTGCTCAAGGGAGACTGGCTCGTGTCTGCGTGGTGCAGACGGCACTCGCTCTGTCCAGGTACTCGGCGCTTCCTACGCGCCTTCGTGTCCGCAGCCGGAGTCTCACCAGAAAGATGACGCTGGCTAAGCCACGACAGATGGATAGTTTCACAAGAATTCATGAATATTTTCAATTGCCGGACCTTGTTGTCCAGCTGTCTCATGGACGACAGGTTGCAGTCGTTTTGGTTATGTGGCATCCCAATGGAACCACTGTGTACACAGGGTTGGTACCAGACCGCGCCATGACTAGTGGAGACAAGACGAGTTGCTTTGCGAAGTGTGATCCTGTTCCGGGAGGCTTGGAGAATGTAGCCTTTACAGGAATTGTTGAGCTCAAATTCAGCAGCTGGAATGTGGACAACCTCCACACTGAAGAACGTAGCCGCAGGAAGACTCTTGGAATGACATTATCGACCCAAAGCCTGAAATCCCCAGTTTAGCGTGTGACTGTGGCAAAGCATGACAACGCGTGGCCGTATCAGTTTCGTGAACAGTTTACAATGGGACAGGGGCAGAGGTGCAAGCAATGCCGAAGAGAGAACATGTAACATATCAACAGTATATCAACTAACCTATGGCAGCCCAATACGATGGCGACGCCTTGCAATGGCTACAAGGCCTCGACACGGGACTCCAAGAACTCTCGAACAGCTCATTAACTGCTGAATGTCAGCAGGCTTTGGCAGCAGCTGCAGCTGTCGGCGCTCTTTCTGGCCCATTTTTGCCCATTTCATAGATGAGAACGGATTGTGACCGATAGGCCGAGAGGGCCTAGGGCTGGTTTGGAGCAGGCGCAGCCGCGGCTGCAGCGGTCTTGGCGTACACCAGCACCAGGCCTCGAAGACAGGCTCGACAGCCAGCCACGCAGCGCATGAAAGTAAATTACCTCTCCCTCCCTCCCTCCCTTCCCCTCCCTCCTTGCCGGAAGGGGAGGGGAGGGGCACGGGACGGGACGACTTTTTGACTTTGCATGTGCAGAACAGGTGACTGCCCCATGCGCGGCTAACTCGACACGCCATTGTGGCGCGGCCAACTAGGGCTGTAACCATGAATGTTTACATCGCTACAAAGAAGCTACTCACCACTACTCACCGCTGTGCTTCATGTGAAACGTCAGAACCTGCTGCAGCCAGTGGATGGTGCGTGGCCTTTGCAGCCTAGCAACCATAGGGTCAGGGGATGTTGCGGTCTGAGTTAACATTTTCAGGCAGCGATGTCGCAAGGATTGTAGGGGGTTTTCGACACATAGTCTCAACAGAAGGGCTCGACAGCTGGATGTGCGCAACGCTGCGAGCAATAGTTCGAAGATGCCGGGCAAGCCGAGGCTGCAGGTGTAGCAGGTGTAACCCATGCAGCGCCATAACAGAACCTGCCTTCTCAGCGGGAAGACCCGCGAGTGCAGAATCCCAAGTACTCGTGCTTTCTGGGCTTCAGCGATCTGTAGCCTGTGCAGGACAGTCGCCATGGTGGCATCCTGATAAGAAAGAACAATGCCCAGGTATGTGATCTGCTCAACAAGGGGCAGGCGCAGATCCCGACCTTGATCCGTTGGCAAAAACAAGAAGCGGCCCTCCGGAGTGGGGGCCGTGTGCCTGCGCCACGACTTGCGTGCTTCCCTGCCCTATGGGCGACCATCACGGATGTCTTTTTGTGCTGAACTTCCAGACCAAGTGATTTTAGAATCCTCAGACAAGTGCCAAAGTGCTGCAGGGCTCAAGCTCCGGGGTGGTGTGGAAGATGCACAGGGGCAGCAAGTCATCCGCAAACATAGTCACCCGTCCCGGACCCAGCCGGGGTACGTTTCTTGGGCAAGAAACCGCAAGAGGGCTACCGTGATCAACGCCCATAAACGAGGCGCCAGGGGACAGCTCTGCCGTACTCCCCTTTCACTCTGAACACGACTGCCCTCGCCCTGGCCCATGGGCCAGTACCAATGGCTGGTGCATCGCGGAATCATCGTCACCTCGACTTCGGGGATGCCTGCCGCTCCAACTCCTGTGCCAACACTTTATGATTTCCGATCCACGGTGTCGAATGCCTTGCTCGTGTCATTCGAGATCGTGAGGCCTCCTCGGCACTCCACGGGCCGTTTACCTGTCTCCCTCCGTTCCTTCAGGGTAACTTTAAAGGATTGGAGCAAAACCTTCGCGTCATGACAGTGCTGTAAGGAACGGACGATTGCATGGTCAACGCACCGGCCTGGAAGATACGCAAACTGCGGCCACGGGGATGTTGCCGGGGCAAACTGCGGTCGGAGACTGGCAGTACGCGCCTTGACCGCGATGCGGCCGCCGCCCCCGGTCAAAGAGATAGGCCGAAGGTTTGCCGGCGTGTCTGCCGGCTTTCCCGGTTTGGGACCACAGTTGGAAGAAGCATGATGGGCCTGCCACAATGTCTCACAGAGATCTGCAAGTTTCGGAATGAGCAGGTCTTGCCCAAGATGCCAGAGGGACAAAGCAGCCAGGTGAGGTGGTGTGGCTTGCCTGGCTGGAAATGTGGCCCAAATGAGGGGCCTCTCTCTACCAAGTCAGTGGTGAGATTCTGGGAGGATCTGGGAGGGGGCCCGACGAGGAGGGGGCAACGACAGGCCATGAAACGCTGTGGGTGGGCAGCAGGGTCTGGACCCGGGGTGTTTGAGGGATTTCGTAGATTTGCTCACAGTATTTAACGGACTCTTTTTCTTCCCCTTCTCTGGTCAGCAGCTCTCCCTGGGGTCCCCGCAATTGAGTGCGCACCTTTATTGTCTTGGGAGCTAGCTTTCGAACAATCTGCCAAAGGGCGGATTTGTCTCCGTCATTTTCCAGTTTGCCATGCAAGCTGGAGGCTCTCCTCAAGCATGATGCGCCTCGCCTGCCTGCTACCCCTCTGTCTGAGTTTCCTGTGGGCTCCAAGGTAAGAAGCCTGTTTACTCCATGCCGCCACCAACTGTGAACGTTTTTGAAGTCAGGCCTCGCCGACAAAGCGCGGAAGGCCTTCAACGGCATGTTGTACTTGGGCAC